TGCTGCTTCGGCTGTGCGATGGGGGCCCGCGCGTCGCCTGCTTTCAGGAAGGCGCCGGAGCTCCTTCTGGCTGCTGCTGTTGCTGCTGCTGCTGCTGCTGCTGCTTGGGGCCCTGTAGGGTCCCCGCAGAGGCCCTGGGGGCCATAGAAATGTGCTGGAGTTCCCCCAATTTGGCTGGGGAGGCCCTCAGCCAGCACAATGCTGAACTTCTCGTAGGCATTTTTGACTGCAGCCAAACAGCTCAGACCCACTCCCCGCCACCTCAGGGGTGCCCCCGGGGGGGCCCCCTGGGGGCCCTTCTGGGGGGCCCTTTGGGGGGCCCTTTGCAGGGCCCCCGGAGAAACAGCAGCTTCTGTTTCTTGGGGCCCCCTTGGGGACCTCCCAGGGGCCCCCCTTGGGGCCCCCCATGGGGCCCCTACCGGGGCCCCCCTTGACGGGGCCTCCGAATGATCTGCTGGTGCTCGTTCTTCTCGAGCTTTTGGCTGCAGGGGGGGCCCTGCAGCGGGCGGGGGGGCCCCTGAGGCCCCCAAGGCCCCGCGGGCCTCCCCAGAGGCCCCAGGGGGCCTCTGGGGGGCCCCCGGAGCCCCTACGGATGCTTGAGAGGCCTTTGAAAACCCCCAAAACGAACAAAGGCCCTGATAGACAGGCTGGGGACCCTCCAGGGGGCCCCCAGAGCGCAGCAAAAGTGCGGTGACCTTGGGGGCCCCCCGAGGAAGAGAAGAAAGGGCTCTCGGGAGCGCCATTGCCGGCTAAAAGGAACTTTCCTCGGATGAAAAGAAACGAATAATAAAAATAAAAGGTTAATTTAAGTCATTTGAGGAAGAAGTGCATCAGAACTCAAAAAGCCTTGGCCAGCCTCGCTGAGGACCACTGGTGCGCAGCAGCGAGCTGTCTGTACACCTGAGCTGCTGCTGCTCGCGTGTCGATGCTGCTGCTCTTCGCTCAATTTAATTTAATTTTATTTAAAATCTTTTATTTCCGCATTTAGAGATTTTAAAATAAATGCGAAAGGCTTTTACTGGAACTGAGCCTTCGAGCCGGCTAATCAGCGCGCCTGCTGCTGCTGCAGGCGCTCGCTGCCGCTGCTGTTGCTCCTGCTGCTGCTTCTGCTGCTGATCTGTGCTGCTTCTGCTGCTGCTCCTAGTAACTTTGCTTCTGCGTCATTTGCTGCTGCTGCTGGTGCTAGAAGGTTGCCGAACAGCATCTACTGCCGCTGCCGCTGCTGCTGCCAGATGGTTCCCGAGCTGCTGCTGCTGCTGCTTTAGTTCATAAGCAGCCTCTGCTGCTGCTACTGCTACGTAGCTGTTGAGCACCGTCTTCTGCTGCAGCAGCTGCTGCTGCTAGTTGTTTGCCGAGCAGCATCTGCTGCTGCTGCTCCCCAGTCACTCCGGATTGCGTAGCATGTGCTGCAGCAAAGACGCTGCTGCTGCAGTAGCAGCCCCAAGTTGCTGCTAGTGGACTTCTATTTGAATTCTTTTTCTATTGTTTATTTGGCTTTTAAATCCAAAAGGGAAAAAAGCCCAAAAGCATAACAAATCATATTTAAAGCAGCAGCAGGAAGCCAAGTTAACAGCTGCTGCTGCTGCTGCAGCAGCAGCAGCAGCACCAGCAGCAGCAGTTCCGTTTTTGGCCTGTCTCCGTATCCCTCCTCTAGAGGCGCTGCCCCATCCATCACTTGTTTAATTTTGGAATATTTATAGATCTAGTTTATATATTTCCTTATTTATTCATTTATTTTATTTATTTATTTATTTATCCATTTATTTTATTTACTTACTTACCTTTTTTATGTGCGTTGACTCTGCATGGCAGCATGCATAAACAAGCAGGGATGAAAACCCTAGACCCCAAACCCTAAACCCTAAACCCTAAACCCTAAACTTTAAACCCTAGACCGTGAGCCGTACAGAAAGAATCCGAAACCTGTTAAGTCAAAAGGATTTAGGGTTTAGGGTTTGAGAGGCCCTCTCCCGCATCGCCGTTTGCCCGTCTTCAGGGTTTAGGGTTTAGGGTTTAGGGTTTAGCGCAGCCTCAAAAGCGAGCAGGCGCAGCAGCAAGCAGCAGCATGCAGCAGCATTCAGCAGCATGCAGCAGCATGCAGCAGCAAACAGCAGCCTGCAGCAGCAAACAGCAGCACACAGCAGCACACAGCAGCAAGCAGCAGCAAGCAGCAGCAAGCAGCAGCACGCAGCAGCCTGCAGCAGCCAGCAGCAGCAAGCAGCAGCAGCAACAGCCAGCAGCAGCAAGCACCAGCGAGCAGCAGCAGCAGCAGCAGGAAAGTCTAAAAAGTGCGTTTGGGACTTCTGGCTTCTGCTGCTTGTTGAATTGTCTTTTTAATTAAACAAAACCAAAACAGCAAATTGTCATAATCGCCTTCGTAAGAACTCCACAGCTGCTGCTCCTCTTCCGCCTTCAGAGCCGGGACCAGCAGACTCTCTTGCTGCTGCTGCTGCTGCTGCTGGTCTTGCTGCTGGTCCTGTTGCTGGCTGTGCTGCTGCGGTTCCTGCTGCTGCTGCTGCTGTTTTTGCGGCTGGCTCTGCCGCTGCTCTCCCTGCTGCTGCTGCTGCTGGTTGTTGTGGGCGGTTGGTGCTGCAGCTGCTACTGTGCCTGCTGCTGCTGCTGCTTTTGCTGCTGCTGTTGCTGCGCCGGCTGCTGCCTCGTCTGCGGCCTGCGCCTTTGCCTCCACTGCAGCACCGCCAGCAGCAGCACACGCAGCAGCAGCGGGAGCAAGAGCAGCAGCAGCAGCAGCAGCAGCAGCTTGGTTTGCCCTTCGGCGCATGTCGTATTCCCTGAGGACAAGATAAGCTGCTTCTGCTGTTGAGAGGAAAAAGAGCTCTCCGTTTTTGTGTCTCCTCCAGAAGTTGCTGCTGCTGCTGCTGCTGAGCTGCACCCGCTGCAGCGCAGCAACAGCAGCAAGGCGGCTCATTGCTGCTGCTTGGTACCAAGTGCAGTCCAGCAGCACAACATCTTGCACTCGCTGCCAGTCCACTGCTGCTGCTGCTGCTGCTGCTGCTCCCGGCAGCAGCAGCACCGCCCGGCCCTCCGCCCACGGAGCCCCTGCTGCCCCTGCTGCTGCTGCTGCTGCTGCTGCTGCTGGGACTCTAGCAGCAGCAGCAGCAGCAGGGTCTTCCTGCCCGTCCCCCTGCTGCTGCTGCCGCTCTGCCTTCTCGCCCCCCCGTCCCTGGTGCGGCCCCCGCTGCTGCTGCTGCTGCTGCTGCTGCTGCTGCTGCTGCAGGGGCCCAATTCTTTTGATGGAGTTGCTGCTGAGGTCTGCTTCGTACAGCAAAACTTCCCGAGGAGCAGCAAAAGCCAAAGGGACTGCAGAAGACTTCGAAGCTTTTTCTTTCGGGTGGCGAATTATGTGCAGACGAAACGGCAGCCGCACCCGAGGCACCCACACTCCTCCTGCTGCTGCTGCTGCTGCTGCTGGGGGTGCTGCTGCTGCTGCTGGGGTGGGTGCTGCTGCTGCTGGTGGGGGTGGTGCTGCTGCTGCTGCTGGTGGGAATGCTGCTGCTGCTGGTGGGAATGCCGCTGCCGCTGGTGCTTCTGCTGCTGCTGCTGCTGCTGCTGCTGCTGCAGGCCCAAGGAGGCAGCAGCACTTGCAGCAGTAGAAGGACCGCTGGACTCCACAGCCGGGGCACTTTTGCCTTCGGCCCTTAACAGCGGAAATGCTGCGGCCCCGCTTCTGGCGCGAGGGGCCCCCCTGCTGCTGCTGGGGGCCCCCCTGCTGCTGCTGCTGCTGCTGCTCTTGGAGGGCCGCCTGCTGCTGCTCTTGGGGCGCCCCCGAATCCCCTGAAACCCCAAATGTGGCTTCAGAGGCATCTGAAGCCTCCAAAGAGGGTCTGGAGTCCCCAGAGGGGCCCCCTGGGGGGTCCCCAGAGGGGCCCCCAGGAGGGCCCCCAGGAGGGCCCCCAGGGGGGCCCCTAGAGGGGCCCCCAGGGGGGCCCTCGGGGGCCCCTAGAGGCTCGGGGGCCCCCTGGAAATCAGAAAGGAGGCGATCTATAGAAGACCAGTCAATTTGCAGTTTGTCGAGGTCTATGCTGCGCAGAGGGGCCCCCATGGACACAAACCCTAAACCCTAAACCCTAAACCCTAAACCCTCGTCCTGCAGCCGAATGGATGAGAATAAAACCCTTAAAAACCCTCAAAAGTCTCAGAAAAGGCAGATGGTACCCTAAGGGGCCCCTTAAGAGGGACTAGAGACCAAAGGGGGGCCCCCTGAAGGGCCCCCCGGGACTCCGGAGGGCCCTAGGGGCCCCTAGGGGCCCCGAAGGCCGCAGGGGCCCTTGGGGCCCATAAGGGTTGAGTTTGGGTTTATTGAATGTTTGAAATAGAACTTGGGGGGAAAAGATAATTAAAAAACGTGATATTAAATTTAAAATATTATTTGCTGCTGCTGCTGCTGCTGCTGCTGCGGTGGCTACAGCAGCAATCGCAGGTGTCCGGCGGAAGCCCTGAAAAGAAGCTGACTTCGCTTAAACCCTAAACCCTAAACCCTAAACCTTAATCTGTGGAGCGGAACCCTTTAAATCTAGACCTAGCGAGCACCTGTGCAACGGGGTTTAGGGTTTAGGGTTTAGCGTTTAGGGTTCAGGGTTTAGGGTTTAGGGTTTGTGCGGGAAAAGAACTTGAACCAAAAAGAGCCCCTTCGGCTCAATTTGGTCAAACTTAAATGAATTAAATGAATCCAAATGAATTAAGTTGATTTAAATTCATTTAAATGGGTTAAAATCGGCAATGGCGACCCCAAATAGCCTCGAAGAAGAACTAAAACATGCAGAAACTTACGAAGACTATTTGGACAGATTTTTGACTGAGACGGATCGGCTGTACCTCAGTGATGTACATACACCCGAACTCCCGAATTGGAAATTTGAATTTAATTCATTTTAATTCATTTTATTTAAATTCATTTCAATTTGTTCTAAAAATGATTTGTTTCAACTTATTTCCTTTTATTAAATGCTTTATTTATTTCCGAAAATAAAATTTCCTTTCTTTCGCTTTTGCAATTCTCCACATCTCTGAGGTGTACGTACACCCCAGAAGCCCATTTCTCTGTTGCCAGCTTCTATTCCCTACCTCCTCTTTGCGTCCTGCTGCTGCTGCTGCTGTTGTTGTTGTTGCTGCTGTTGCTGCTGCTGTTGCTGCTGTTGCTGCTGTTGCTGCTGTTGCTGTTGCTGCTGATGTCCTAAGGAAAGGCTCGCGAGGGAGCTGGTGGAAATTGGATGTCTCAAAGGTACAGCGAAGACAAGCACCAGCAAAACAACTTGGCGAGCAAAAATAAAACGAATTAAAATAAATAAATAAATACATAAATGGAATAAAAGAAGAAACAAATAATAAACAAACACTAAACAAATAAGCCAATCATTCAGCAGCAAAAGAAATTCTTTTTCTTTTTCTTTTTTTTTAATTCAGGATCTGTCTTAACAAGAGAACAGTTTTACCAAAAGGCAGAAACATTAGATGAACAAAACCGCAAGGCCAAACATTACGGAGTTGGGGGCCCCCCGGGGGCCCCCCCGGGGGGCCCCCTGGGCCACGGGAGAACAGCTTGGGGCTGCAGCTGGCGGGTCGAGTGGATTTGATATTGAATGGGAGTTTGTCAACAATTGTTTATGTGAGGGATTTGAATGAAGAGGGAATTGAAGTTAGTGGTTATATTGATTTGGCAGATCGAATAAAAGATAAAAGCTTTCGAGACATTTGCGAGGGAAAGAAGAGGCAAGGAGAGAAAGCCCTAGTTAAAGATTCTTATCTTTTTAAATTTATTTTTATCTTTTCCATCTTTTTTATCTTTTTTCTACCATTTTTGTTTTTTTCAATCTTTTTTCTTTCTTTTTGGCTTTTTATTTCCCTTTTTGGGTCTTTTTGGTTTTCCTTTTGATCCTTATTATTTTCCTTTTTGCTTCCCCTAATTATGCTTCTCTTTAACTATTTAATTATTTAATTAACATAATTATTTAATTATTTAATTAATTAATTATTTAATTAATTCAATTTAATTATTTAATTGCTGCAGGCTGCTCCCGCGGCCGTCGGACCTGGCGTACATGAACATGGCTTCTTCGTTTTGCTGCTGCAGCAGCAGCAGCCACTTCACCGTGAAGCAGCAGCAGCAGCAGCAGCAGCAGCAGGGTTTGGGGCTTCTCTTTCGCCACAAAAGAGACTTCAAAACCCTAAACCCTAATCCAAACCTCCCTCCCGGAGACAGCACCACGCGCTTCGAATTCCCCGCCCCCGGAAACGCCCAAATTGTCTTCTTCGATCACACCTGCAGAAAAAAAGCCTAAACCCTAAACCCTAAACCCTAAACCCTAAATTAGGGTTTGGCGGCATCGACGGGTGAAATGCAGGAACGGGATACTGCGTGCCCTCGCAGTTGCCGCTGTCAAGAAAGGCCTAGCCTAAAGCTCTAAACCCTAAACTCTAAATTAGGGTTTGGTGGCACCAGCAGGTGAAATTCAGACCCGGGACACTGCTAAAGGGGGTGCGTGCCCACGCAAATTTCGCTGTTGTGAATGGCCTAACCTCAAACCCTAAACCCTAAACCCAAAACCCTGAATTAGGGTTTGGCGGAACTGGCAGGCACAAGTCCGTTCCGGGATACTGCTAAAGAGGGAACATGCCCACACAGATGTCGCTGTTGAGAAGGGCCTAGCCTCAAACCCCGAACCCCAAACCCTAAACCCTAAAATAGGGTTTCGCGGCGCCGGCAGCAAAAACGCCGACCCCGGGGTACTGCTCAACGGGGGAGCAGCCAAGGCAAATGCTGCTGCTGCTGCTGCGTACGGCCTGGTCTCAAACCCTAAACCCTAAACCCTAAAACAGCTGCAACACGTGCTTGGATTCGCTGACGAGCTTCTGTGGCTCCACAGCAAAACCTCCTTAAAAATAAATAGAAACCTGTATTCGAAACAAATTTACATTCTTCTACAATCAGCTACCTCAAAATACCCAAACGATATGTAGGCTGCTGCTGCTGCTGCTGCTGCTGCCGCTGCAGCAACAGTATCAGCAGTAGCAGATCATAGTCATCAGCAGCAGCATCAGCAGCAGAATAGTCACCATCAGCGTCAGCAGCAGCAGCAGTAGCACCATCATCCCCATCAGCAGCAGCAGCAGTAACAGCAGCAGCAGCAGCAGCAGCAGTAACAGCAGCAGCAGCATTTGTAGTTTGCATGCACTTGCGTGTGCTGCGGGCTCTTTAGATTTTGCACTTTGTTTAATGACCAGAAATGCACTTCTGAATTAAATTAATTGTGATATATAGAAATAAAATTTTAAATTAAAAGTGGAATTAAAAATTTTAAAATTTAAAATTTTTAAAAAATGGTCGTGTGTACATACACCCGAAAGCACTGCAAAGTGCGAATGGACTAAAACGCATTTATTTGAAATGAAAAAATAAACTAAAAATAAATAAAATATAATCAAAATTAAAATTAAATACAAATTAAATGCAAATCAAATGCAGAATAAATGCAATAAAACAAAAATGCAAATCCAGCTTCTTCGCCGTGGCTCCAAGCAGCAGCAGCAGCAGCAGTAGCAAATAAACCCCATAAATAAATAATAATAAATAAATAATAATTATAAATACTAAATAACTT